CGGACAAATATTGTCCTATCCTAACAAACCATACATCAATGAAAAGCTTATTTATTCAGCTTTCAGATGATTTATACATCTCAATTTCAACAAATTGACCCTTATGACTGGTTTTGTGGTCCCGGGTCACATATGACTTTCTCCTTTCCGACGAATCCAATTGGAGTTATATTAAAAATTGTCCTTGCTCTTCCAAGCTTTATAATGGCAGTGAATGGGTGTTTTTGTTCAACAGTCCAAAATAAGTCAAATAAAGCGCATCCATCCATAATAAAACGTGCCTCGCATGGCCTCCAGGGGGTGAATAAATGCCTCCTGTAGCAAATCGATGCGTTTTTGTAAAAAAATATCCATATTTAAAATGTTATAAACACTTTTCTATCACTTCCGCTAACTGTTGTACACAGAAGCCATTCCGACGGATTCATCGATTCGCTACAGGAGGCCTTTTTTCACCCCCCGGAGCTATGCGAGGCACGTTTTATTATGGATGGATGCACTTTATTTGACTTCTTTTGGACTGTTGAACAAAAACACCCATTCACTGCCATTATAAAGCTTGGAAGAGCAAGGACAATTTTTAATATAACTCCGATTGGATTCGTCTGAAAGAAGAAAGTCATATACACCTAGGATGCCTTGAGGGCGAGTAAATCATGGGCTAATTTTTATTTTTGGGTGAACTAACCCTTTAATTTCTAAGAAAAATTATTAAATATGGCTTTAATCGTTCCAAGCACATGTGTGACCCTGGACCACAAAACCAGTCGGGTCAATTTTGTGAAATTGAGATTTTTAGATCACCTGAAAGCTGAATAAATAAGTTAGGATAGGACAATATTTGGCTGAGATACAACTATTTGAAAATCTGGAATCTGAGGGTGCAAAAAAATCTAAATATTGAGAAAATCATCTTTAAAGTTGTCCAAATGAAGTTCTTAGCAATGCATATTACTAATCAAAAATTAAGTTTAGATATATTTATGGTAGGAAATGTACAAAATATGTCCATGGAACATGATCTTTATTTAATATCCTAATGATTTTTGGCATAAAAGAAAAATGGATCATTTTGACCCATACAATGTATTTTTGGCTATTGCGACAAATATACCTGTGCTACTTATGACTGGTTTTGTGCTCCAGGGTCACAAATCAGAGTAAGTACAGCATGTTTTTGAACACTCAGTTGTGTGCGTCTGTGATTGGAGCTCACCGTGGCGGGGGAGGCTCTAGTGGCCTGAGCCGCGCTGTGAGGGGCGGAGCCATCCATGGAGTTTCCTCCAATCAGATACGCTCCTGAGCTGCTGATGATCTGGCCTCCTGACAGCCCCATGGCCAGAACGCCGTTCCCGTTGCCGTTGTTGGCCATACTGTGAGTGCTCACCTGAGCCGAGCTGCCCTGCGTATCGAAGTAGTTCCCGCCGCTGTTCTGGTTGTACAGCTGCGGCTCTGAGTATGAATACGTCCGTCTGCCGACAAAACAAGAGCGCTTGAGATACGGCTGCCAGCTGGTTTTTCACTCAAATGAGTTCTGACATTATATCAGCGCACACGGTTTCTTTAATTGACTCGAGAAACATGATAAGTCTTGTCTTGATGGGTTCGCATCCTTTCAGCTTCAGGTGAGAGTGCTGTTTCCATGGATACAGAAATCACCAAAGCATAACTATTTTATAGAGAACATTGCTTTTGATTGCCATTCTGATATGTGCTTTCTCCATTCGGCTGATGACATTTTATTTGTAATAGCCAATTTAAAAGATCTTAGCCTCTTGAGGAGTGAATTTCTAAATATGAGCGATCCGAATGTTACTGAGAGAGAAAGCAGACAGAAGCACTTAGGAGAGTTTCAGGTGACCCGCGCTCAGGGTGAACGTCTGGAAGTGCTTTTTTGCGTCTTCTGTAAAAAGCACACGATCCCAGAGTGCTCTCGTCCATCATACGCTGGCCACTCATTGATACTTGTGGTCATTTCCAGGTGGCCGAACACAATTCTCACACTGATGCTCGAGTCTCTCAGAAGCAGCGCGTTTCAGTGACAGGACTGAGCTGGAGTGCACTAAATCAGTTTGCCGCTGAACACAATCAAGTCTTTTTTTTTTTTTTTTTTTTTTTTGGCGATTTTTCCGATTTTATCGATTAATTTGAATTTAATGTTTTGCCACAATTTTATTTTTATAAATCAAGGAATCGCGATTTTGAATAGAAATATTACCAAACGTTAGAATTAGACATTTTGACAATATGCCCATGATAACCGTAAAGGGAAAAGAATGATTCAACCGCTCATATCGCGAGGTGCCATTTACACAGAATGTGCTTTTGTATTAATAAAGATGCGACGCAGCAGTGGAAAAGGAAAAAATGCAAGAAGATGGGAGTGAACTTCTTTTAACTTGAGCGGCGTGTTTTTAGAAAGCCGTTTCATGCAAGAGACGCGAGCGCAACAGTCAAACACGTCCATGTTTACACAGAAAAACAATGGAAAAGCAGCGCAATCGAATAAAAAACCTGTAAAGAACTACTGCTGTATGTCTGATATTTCATGTTTGCATCACGGTGACTGATGACTGAAAGCTGCTGTTCATTGTTTTTACAGAACATTTATAGTTAATAATAGTCTGCTGGTGTTATAAGTTTTTCATTTTGAATTTGAATTACCTTGACTTTTGAGAAGTTGTTTTAAAGCATTTTCCTCGTATTATTTCTTTACATATAATATGTATAAGACAAGTTTGTACAAGATGTAGTTGTAGCTCATGCATCTTTTCTGCAAAGATATTTAAAAAGTGATTTGTGTAACATTTACATCATGTTGACAACTTCATGTGTGCTGCACTCGGAATAGAATTTTCTTTAACTAGAGGGTTTATAAAGAAAAAGTTACTTGAATCATGTTGTAGTTACATTTTCAAGTTGACTCTCGATTAAAAATCGAGAATCGGTCAAATGTTCCGAAAAAAAAAAAAATTTGAGTTTTTTTTTTTGCCATATCGCCCAGCCCTACATGTAACCCTTGTTTTTTTTTTGTATATATATGGCAGTATGAGGGACTAATTCTGCATTTTGCACCATTTTAATGGTGTCCTAAAGCACTTATCAGCATGTGTGCTAATTACAAAGCCCCGGCTCTGACATGCATTTCAGAAATCACATCAGGGAGCATGTACGTATTCACGGCTCATAAACACACTTACATGGTTCCGTTGGTGTAAACGCTGTTGTTTTCCTCCTGAACGTACTGCACCTGTGCTTGATACACATGCTGGACCTGTTGAACAGTCTGCGCCTGAAACACACGACACAATTACACTGAGAGTGACTCACGCCTCCATAAAGACAGGAGAATATATAAATAAGCGGCTTCAGTAGCAGCTTTGCAAGATGATAGTAAAGCAAAACAGCAGTGTATTACATTTACTATGCTTTCATCAAGATCCAAACAGAAAAACACTAATGGACCTTTTTCACATTTCCATGGCTCTCAGAAGCTGAAGTCGTCATAGCTAGATAAAGTTCTATACCGGTAAATGTACTACATCAAATATAGCTTTTACATTCCCATTTGCCCTAATAGCAAAAAAAAAAAAAAAAACTTTCCAAATGAAGAAAAAATGAGAAAAATTTGCTGAAAGTTTATTATGAAATTTGCCATCGATCTGTCAGCTTTTGCATTAGAAACACTCATACAATTTAATGCCAAAGTCATAAAACACAAACTATAGTGTTATAAATGCACATTAAATATTTTAAAGATGAAAATATAAAAGACTGTAAAACCAGATGTTATTAACTGTGGAAACAAAAAACTAAACTTTTTTTTTTTTTTGTAATAATTACAATTAAGCCAAAAAAAAATTCTGGCCCTTTTTTTAAGTTAAAATACAATAAAAAAATAAAAACATGGCTCATTCATTTGTGAACTGGTTAACTCTTCTCTCATATGTTTGTTGCGTTTTTCTAGCAAATATAATAGAGATATATAGGAAGCTCCATCTACCACAGCATCACCTCAAAGGAATAGTTCTCCCAAAAATGACAATTTGCTGAAAATTGTCCACAATATTATGGATGCAGAACTCTTATTTTAGCCGGAAGGAACAGTGATGGATGGATTAGTTTCAGCTTTTGTCTTCTCCAGATGTTAACTGATGGACTGGAGTGCTGTAGATTACTTGTGGATTATTGTGATGTTTTTATCAGCTGTTTGGACTCTTATTCTGACGGCACCCATTCACTGCAGAGCATCCATTGCTGAGACACTGATGCAATGCTGCATTTCTACAAATCTGATGAAGAAAAACTCATCCACATCTTGGAAGGCCTGAGGGTGAGCACATTTTCAGCCGATTTTCATTTTTGGCTGAACTATAATAGCTTTTAGACTCATCTGGGCTGCCTCACCTGTTGCTGGACTGGCACCTGAGACGCCACCTGCTGGGCACTGACCGCAGACGGCACAGGCACGCTGGTCTGGAGCTTGATAAAAAAAACAATGCTTGAAGCTAGAATAAAACTTTTTTTGTTGTTGTTTGAAAGTAGAGGGTCTGATCTTTATTTTGATGTATTGCAAGTTCAGATATTCATACAACAAAATATTCTGGGGGCCATGAAAAGTTTGTGAAAATCAGCAAAAACACTGGTAGTGGCTGGCAACTTTTTTCAAAAACGCTGGCGGGGAAAGAGTTAACTTGTGCTAAAACTTGTTCATGAAGAAAAATTTAAGTTGCTGCAGCAGGAGAAGGCACTGTATTTAATAATTTTTGTATACAATAAATCACGAGCTTCAGAGCCTGCAGACGAAACGCGGTCATGTTATCTTATTTTCGGAGCCTGTTGTTTGGGAACGCAGTTCTGGGAATTAATTATAACGAAGCACTTTGACGAGACTTTGCTCAAGCATTTCAGAATGACAAAACTAGGATTTCAGATGCTGTGCAATGAGATCGGTCCGTTGGTTGGTCCAGTTTTATGCTGTCCCATCGCAAAGTCACGTCTTTTTTTGATGCGCATTAAGGAATTTATTCTGTAAAAGTGTTTACGTTGCAGTTTATGCACATGTTTTCTTACCGGATAAGAAATTGATCCTACTTAGTTGAGCGCTTAAGTTTTTTATGCGCATTGTTAGAATTTATGCGCATCTTGCCGTTTCCATCCAGCATTTTTTTTTTTATGCGATATCCCAAAATGCACATAAAAATAGGTGAATGGAAACATGGCTAATGATGCTTGTCGTGCAAAACCTACTAAAAAGACTCATCATACGAACACTAAAAAACCCTGAGGAAAGATATATATATATATTTGTTTTGTTTTTTAAATCAGTCCCGGGTCACTTCCTGTCCTCTGCAGGGTGTGATTCTGCTTGCACAAACACACAGTGCTGATGTGGACGGGATCTGTGTGTTCTGGGCAGGTCAGTGAGTGGAGATAGCAATAAATGTAGTTAATATTTAATCGCCTCGGCAGGCTTCTCTCCGCTCACGATTTAAGCCGACAAGATTTCAAAAGCAACAGCTCGCTGCTAACGTTCCTCCTGAATTCAGTATTGCTGAAATCATTAATGTAAGAAAATATGTATATTTGCATTGGTTTTTCTTGCTCCTGCTGCATGCGAGCTGTAATGCGCCATGTAAACAAGCCGTGTTTGAGCAGCGGCACTCGACCGTACACGCAGCCCAAGGCTTCTCAGCTGCAAATGTTTCCATGATCAGGTCTCTGCAGGTTAATTACCCTCGTGCCTCCTGACAGCCGAGCAGCTCTCCCCAGAGGCTCCCTGCCACCTCCTCTTCCTCTGTTCCTCATTTACCTGAAGGGTGCAGGTGGTGTTGTGTTCAGTTCACCTCCCCCTCAGCCCTAAACGTCTGATTACCCAGCATTCCTTTTCCTGCCTCACACATAATCACGGCCATTTCCAATGCACACGCTAATGAGTCAACAGACTTCATCCAGAACACGACTAAACTATTCAGAGATAACATTCGAACGGTTTATGTCAGTTTGGATTGCCATTTTTTTTTTTTTATTGGCATTGCTCTTAAAAAATCATGCAGCACTATTATGGCTTCAAACTAGATGACTTTGTCTTAATCGTATTGTTTTTTTTTTACCAGAACTAGGGGTGTGGGATATATATCGTCTGCGATAATATCGTAATTGTTGTTTTAACAATGTGCGATTTGTAATTATTGAGTATAACGTAAAAAAATAAAATAAAATGCGACTATAGAGTGCAAGCTTACCTGGCTGCCACCTACTGGTGGTTTTAACTTCACATTTAAAGTATCTTTATAATTTTTTTTAATAATTTCAAATATCAGTATTCAACGTTTTACGTTTAAAATATCAAAACATTATTGATGCATTTGTAACTGCAGGTTAAATGCATTCATGTCTAGAGCCCGACCGATATATCGTTTAGCCGATATTATCGGCCGATATGAGCCTGTCGCCGATATTGTCTACGGCGCATTAAAGCCTGTGTTACGGCCACCGGAGCTGATCGTGGCCATTCAGTCAGTGCTGGTGTTTATACCGGCCGTGCCGCGGCCCAGAACTCATGCTTATCACATCGGTCACATCACATCGCATGTTGCTGGTTGCTAGTGTGTTTGCAGCACTACCATTATTTATTTTTTATATATTTTATATTTTTCAGTTTAATTGATTTTTATTTATAAAGTTGTATTTATTTTATTTAAATGTATATTTAAGTTTACATTTATGTTCCAACAAACTTGAAAAATTCTGCTTGATAAATGCTCTAAAACTTTTATGTAAATGATTGACAGTTTTGTTTTGTTTTTTATACCTGTACCAGTAACAGTACCTGTTTTATATATTTAATACTTGGTAAGTTTATTGATTTGTTTGGTTAACTTTGGATAAATATTTTATTTTAATACCGTGCAGTGCACAAAATTAAGATTCGAGAGATGGTTCAAGTCAGTGTTCACTAAATGATGATGTTAAATTTAGAAATGCTGTGCATCCACTTATTATTAGTGTGACATTTTAGCATGCAAATGAAGGGGAAAACGTCAAGATATCGGCCCTAAAAATCGGCAGCACATATCGGCCATCGGCTGACCCTGACCTCTAAACATCGGCATCGGTTATAGAAAAACCCATATCGGTCGATCTCTAATCTGGATGTTAACTCAGACTGGAGTGAGACAGAGTGAAGCATCCACACATGACAAGCTGTCTGAGAGGGCTTTGATCCTTACAGTTCTTGGCAAAGTGGAGCTCAGCCTCTCCACACTCATTAGCAATGATGCAGACTTACACGTGAGGTGGTGAGGTCACTGTCAAAGTAGCACATGCACTCAAGCCGGTTATCAGTATCATCACGGTATTGTTAAAATGTGCTGGAGATGTTCAAAAAGGACTGACACATAAATCACTTCAAGTTATACATTTAAAAATCAACAAACAGCTAATAAAATGACTTTTTGTTTGCATAATCACTAAAACAATAACATTACCAATGATGTTTGAATTTTAAACGGCAACTTGACTGACAACAGTTTAATAGCATGTTGAAATATCTAATGCAAATGTTCAAATAAAGCTTGGAAAAAGTTTCATAAAAAGGTAAACCTCACATTTCAGCCTTTAAATAAAGAAAATATGTCAAAATGATAATTGATTAATAAATGATTATATATATATTTTATCTGCTCCATAAATAATTCTAGATAACTTATCTGAATAGTTCAAATGTGTAGAATCCACACTGTTTTTCATCAACCAGTCAAAATTGACAGCAGGGCATGCAAATTCGGTCCGTTTTTTTGCCAGACAGAAACTGCACACAGGCTGAATGTAAATATAAGTCTCTGTAAATCCACTCGCTGACAGCAGGTGGCGCTGATGGAAAAGCTGAATTAGAGCTGTTTCCCGTAACCTCCGTGGACAAAGCAGTATTGCGATTAAGAACACTTCCTTTAGGTATTACATGAAGCGAAGATGAAAACAAAATGCCATCGAATCGTTTCTGAAGACAGTCAGAACCTTCAGAGGTACATTCATATAATGAATTCATTCATATATTAATTTGTATAATTCCCTTAGCACTCTTTAAAACCTCCCAGCTTTTCCGCCCTGTTTTCACTCAAAAAGAAACTACTCTGCGTGCTGTGCGCACGTGACACTGTTACTGAAAACTGTGCTTTATGCTGGACAGTATTTCATGAGTTGTTCAAATCGCGGTAATCTAATACGGTTTTAATGATAATTAAAAGATGAAACGGTATTACTAACCGTGGGGAATTTTATCACGATTTATCTTCAAACCGGTAATCGTTACATCCCTATTTCAGAGCCTATTAAATGTTAAAAATAATGGCTTTCAATTATACTGTAATGTTGAATCGCTATAATTAATAGGTCAAATTGGTGCAAATTGCACCAGCAGGACAAATTAAAAACATTGTAAATATGTTTAGTCATTGTAGTAGTAATAACAGACTGTTTTTGCAAAAAGAGTTTCATGGCCGGTAAAAAAACCTTTTTGGCCGTTAAATTTTATCATGTCACCGGCCATTGGCAGGTGTGGCAAAAAGTTCGTTTTAGGCCCTGTATATATATATATATATATGTTCTGTTTATGTAGGCTATATACTGTATTCTATATACAGTACCAGCCAAAAGTTTGGACACATGAATGTGTCCAAACTTTTGACTATGCTGTACTATAATATAGCCTACACATAAAGAATATCGGCCGATATATCGGTATCGACTTTTTTTACTCCCTAATATCGGCATCGGCCCCCAAAAAACCCGTATCAGTCGGGCTCTATTCATGTCCTGCATTAAACAGTGTGCAAATGCATCTAAACGCCACTTCAGATGCAGCTTCTGTGTTTCCTCTGCATTGCAAAGATGAATTTTGTTGATACTGAGTTTATTTGCTCGGTAACAGCCCAAATGTCTTATTATTCTAATTCACTGATGAAATATAAGAATTTGACTCAATAGATGACGCACACTGTTAGAAAAAAATGGCTTTATAAAAGGTAAAAATGTCCATAAAAGGTAAAAATTTATTTAAACTTATTGGAAAAGATAATTTCCATCACTGTTGTGAACTGACCATCACACAGAATATGAAGAATATCAAAAACTGTAGGTTTCAGCTGTCCACGGCAGTGCTTAAGATATCAGCACAATAACACAATCTGCAAACTATCATCTAATTATCGTTATCGATAAAATCCCAGAAAATATTGAGATATCATTTTTTGTCAATATCGCACACCCCTAACAGAACCGTTCATTAAACAGACTTACATTCCAATTAAAATCCAATTTGAACTCTTCTTAGTAAATGCTACAAATATGTCCTCCGAAATGCTACAACAGATGAGGATTTGTAGTGTAAACACACATAAAACCCTCATCCTGTTTATAAATATGCTAGCAAATCAGAGACATATTAAATTCAATGTGACAAATGACAAAGATGACAGTCGCTAGTTTATTACTTTCTGGTGTCCTTAAGTAATCTATACAGCATCAGATTCACAGAAATATGGTAAATGCAAATGATACATTGCAACTATCCATTTGTGCACTTAGTGAAATAAATTAATGAAACGTATCTATAAATGTATTTCAGTTACAACTTAAATTACTTTGAATTTTGCCCAGTCAAACTCTATGTTATTTCAGCACGCATGCATCTGTTACTTGGACGCTTGACAAATTAGACAGATGCAGAAACAGATGTTTATGGCCTATGAAACAGTTTGTGTGACATGCCCTCATACTAACCCAAAAATCACAAATAAGGTGAAAGAAAATGCTA